CCTGCCAGCCCCGCGGAGCTGTAAGGGATCCGGAGGGGAGCCCAGGGCCCAGAGGAACAAGCTCTCGCTGGAAACCCAAGGGTTGGATTTTTTTAATGTCCTCTCTCCGAACGGCGCTTAAGCATGCAGATGAGATTAATTAGTGCAGGAAGACAGAGAGAGGGCAAATGGAAGGGAACAAAGGCAGTGGCTTGCTCACTCGCCCAGCAGGGAGTAAGGCGCGTCCTGCACTGAGCGTCTCTGCCTTCATGGTGTAACTGGGCTTGTTTAACGATTGCCCTTAAAACAAGGTAAGATTTATCTCCACCCTGCAGACGCAGCAGCCTCTCCCAGCACATGCTGCCTGCACGAACGTCTGGAGACAGGACTGTAGGGCAGAGTGAACAGCTGCCAAATCACCCAGAGCAGGCACGGTCCTGGCCGAGCACTAGGACAGCGTCCTTCCCGCTGCTCCCCAAGCACAGACTCCTGAGACTTTCCCCTGTGGATGCTGAGGTCTCACCGAACCCCTGGAAAGAGCTTCCCTGGCACCAGAGGAGGGCTGGCTGGCTCTGCTCTTCTGTGGATCACAGTCTGAAAGTCCCCAGAGCAGAGGTTCTCTCCTGGACCCACCTCTCTGCCTCCTGGCAGACCTCCGGCCCAGGGTCTCGGCCCGTTTGCTGCTTGGGGTTATTCTTCCTTTTGATAGAGCAAGGTGGATGTGGGGTGGGATGCAAAGAGCCAGCTTGCTCTCTCCTACCCAAGATACCTAAGAACAAATAAAGCAATCAGCTATTATGGTCCTTAAGGGGATGGACTCCCTTCTCCCAGGAAGCAGAACCAGACTTGCTTCTTCCTGCTTCATCTGAAGCAGAGAATGACCAAGTGGGTTCTGCAAAACTTCCTGACCCGGGAACAAGTCATCTCCCCCCAGCACCCCACTGCCCTGCCCTGCCACAGCACTCCCTCCCCAGCTCTGCCCACAGCCCTTCAGCTCTCCGAGCCCTCTGACAGCCGGAGCAGACAGACCCTGTAGCTTAGCAACAGTCACCTACAGCCGCTTTCCATCACCCAGCACTTCAGACCATCCAGCTGGGTGTCCTGACGCTATCCAGGAACCACAGCCCGGAGCAACAATGCGGATCCCCCTGGAAGGGGAGAAACCTGGGGTGCACCGGGCTGCACACAGGGCAGAGGCACATGGGGCCTTACTGTACCCCAGACTCAACCTGCGTGTAGCACACCGGGGACACCATATTATTTCTTCTATAAACTCATGGCTGTTGTGTTCATCAGGTAAACAGGGAGACGGAGGTGGCCCTCGGACCAGCAGCATCCCCACAAACTCCTTGTCTCTGCCCCAGGGCTCTGCCTGCAAGGACCGTAGCACGCAGGGCACATCTGAAGGGGAGATAGTTTCCACGATCATATTACTTCCTACATCTCCTCCGAAATTAGAGGAAAGTGATGGAAAAGCATCAGTGAAACACATCTCAGACAACTGGACTGAGATCCATCAAAATAATTTCACATACAAGTCTGAGCTGGCCTGAAAAACCAATCAATCCAAGCAGGGCTGTTTATTTTAACTTAGGCTCCCAAACAAATTTAAACAGTCAGCTAAACAGTATTTATTGAATAAAGCATGTGGTTAATAAACCCATAAACACTCCTCGGGCTGCAACCCTCCAGCAGCAGGACCCAGTGCAGGCACACGCACACCCCCAGCATCGCGGGCGCCGCAGTACAAATGAGCACAAAGCAACAATAAAAAGCAGGAGCAAGTCAAGCCACGCTTTGCATGTCCCCAGCAGCTGAGCAGAAAGAGGCAGACACCAGTCTAGATCACCAGCTGCTGTTCTCCCCTCTCTTCGACCCCTTGTTGTCTGATGGGCATCACCACCCGCTCCTGGATCAGCTCAGGGATTTTTGCCTTGGCAGTTTAAGCAGCTCTGGACTGTTGCTTTCATGAATAATTTATTTCCTTTCCAGGTGAATTTTCATGCATTACCATCAACAAATTCAGCATGGTCCAGCAAATTAGAAAAGCAGAGCCAGCTCCTATTTCCAGGAGCGCGACAGATTTGCATCGTGACCCCCAAGAAGTCATTTTCCTGCCCTGTGCCTCAATTTCTTCAACAATAAAGTGCAGACCTGAGATGAGACACAACCAGCATCACGCAAATGGCTGACAGAAGCAGAACCTCATGGCTGGTTCCAGTTCCTCTGCTGTCATTAAGACTATCCAAAGCTCGAGCATAATTGTCTAAAATTGCCTAAAAATTCTTTTTCAACATACCAGCACACAGAAGGCCATTCAAAGCACTGGGAAATGGCTGTGTATTGCTACGGAGCACTGGGCAGGTCCTTCATCAGAATCAGCAGCACAAAGACTTGCAGACTCAGCCCAGCTGCGATCCCAGCCAGCGGGAACCAGCAGATCCCGAGGGCCACCCCTCTCAGCAGCAGGAACACAGAGCTCTGCTGGAATTCAGCTGCCTTAGCATACAAATAATTTGCTATTCTTCTCATCCCTGCTCTTGAAAAGAAAATCAAGGTCACTCTGAAACGCTGTACCCACACGCTTTGTCTCTCCAGCATCACCTGAGTCCCACTAGAACGCGATGCCAGCGCTGTGCCGCGGGAGCCGTCAGAATGTGCTACCCAACACCCCCACTCCGTGTGCTGCAGCCATGTTCTCCTCCCAGGCAGAGGGAATTATCACTTAATTATACCAAACAAATTGGAAGCATTAACATTTTTTTCCTTAAATGGCTCCATTAAAATCAAAATGAATGGTAATTGCTTTTCTACCAGAGGAGATGGCAGGGATGGTGCTGAGCCCACTCCAGGGCCCAGCCCTTACCCTTGCAGGACAGAACCCTCTGCTGTAAGAGCTCAGGGACCAGCAGAGCACCCACACACCCCTCCAGGGCCTTTGCCAAGTGGCTACAGAGCACGGCTGGGCAGGGAGAGCCCCACAGCACCCAGTGAGAGGGCGACAGGGCTCCGGTGGGAGAGGGGACGCCCGGTGCACGGGGCAGATATCCTCAGGCAGATACAGCTCACTCCCAACTGATCCTGTACCACGTTTGCCCAACTTGCTCTGAAAAGCCTCCAGCACTTCTGCAGCCCCAAGAGAAGATCACGGCTGTGCCTCTCAGAGCATCGCCCGCTCAAACCCTCACTTGGGGAACAGCGTTCATTGCAGGGACATCCCAGAGATCCAGCAGACAACCATGCTTCTTCCTGGTATCCCATCACAAGTTCACCGGAGCCATATCCAGCTGACCTTCAGCTTCACTGACTTCAGTAGCATGACCCCAGATTTCCATCACTGGACCTGGGAAGGGGTCAGACCCTAGACACCCGTCACAGCCCCGTCAGGAGCTGTGCTCCCACAACGTCACCGCTCCCCATATCGTCTCCCACCTACCAAACGCCCCCGTGTTTCTCACTGTCACCAGGAGCAGGTTAAAACAGAGACGCAGCCAGTCACCAGCCTGACACAGAAACCTCCTTTCAGAGAAAAAGCTCTTGCACTCACCTAAACGTCACGCCAGATAAGCACGGGGCAGCCCTGCCGTGTGCCAGCCAACACGAGAAAAGGGGCTGCAAAGCTGAGCTGCAAACAGCCCGACGTCCAGGCAGCATCGCCAGCCAGAGCCGTAACGATGCCCGCGGCTCCGGGGACGGGCGTCACAGGAGAGGCAGGAACAGGGGCAACACTATGCTGGAAATAGCACACAAATACCGAGCAGAAAATCACAGCTCCTGCTTCTCGGCACCAGGCAGGGGCGAGCGGCTCCGTTTCGGCTCTGCCTTGGCTGCCTGCACAGTGTTAAATAAAGAGTGAGGAGAGATGACACAGCACAGACTCGATGAAGACAGCTGAAAGGCGGTGATTCAGTGCAGGGAACCCATTTCTGTCCCAAGGAACAGTCATGGTACAAGGCCAGGAGGGGGGACACAGAGTAGGAATTTCACCCGCTGCCAAGGCGGGGTGTCAGGCACAGCCCAGCTCTCCCCTGCCCACTCCTGACTCCCTTCCCAGTGCAATTCCAAGTTACAGCAATGCTCGAGTGCTTTCCCAGTGCTGCTCCAGGCACAGGATCCAATGCACAGTCTGGAGCAGGGACCAGCCCCTGGGAAGTGTCAGTCCCCTGCGGCTCAGCTCTCCTGATCCCAGTTGACCCCAGACCACCTGCCGCTGCTCCCCCTGCTCCAAGGGGCAGAGACGGAGAAGGCGGGAGGTGCCAGGTACGGGATGCCCAGGATGCTGCACACAAGGCCCAGGCACACTTCGCACGGGAGGGCTCTCCTGGGACCTTCATACCTGCTCTCCCTGGGGCTGGCTGCTCAGTTCACCCATGCAGGGAAGCCGCTTGCTCCCAGGTCAGCTGGGAACAGGGCAGGTGGGGACCCCACATCTGCCCCCCCTCAAAAACCCCCA